ACGGTCTTTGTATAACACCTTGGACTTTTTACTACACACCTGACGAGTTTTAATAAGAAACTTCGATTCAGATCTTAAACTACGACTAGGTACATAAAATTCGATTAATTCACATAGATAATTTGGGGCAAAACCATACAAAGATTTATACACTAGTAAAAGTAATTTGAAATTGATTCTTTGTACAACTGGTAACCAATGAAGTTTAATAAAAATGTCTGTAATGTGGTCATATTTTCGAGCAGGAGTGACAAGGCGTGCTGCTGCATTTTGTACACAAATAAGAGGTTTTATCTTAGTTACAGGGAGACCAGACAATAATGAATTACAGCTGTCTAAGTGAGAAGATATGAATGCATGTACCAACTTTTCAGTATATTCTCATTCAATGTGTTGAATTTGCTGACTTGTTTCATTCCATGGGTAGGTTATAATAATTGTACCATGTTTGTTACATCTTGAATGACATGTAGGAAATTTATAAAGACCGTAAGAAGTTCTCAAAGCATGTGTTTCAAGTTGCCTCAACTGATTTAGTCAACATGGGTATAAGTGTTGTCAGTTATACCCTCAAGGACATACGAGATGACCACGTGAGTATCATTTCAAATTTCTCAATTTCTATTACAACTAATTTGTTATATTAGGTATACATGGTTTAACCAAGGCTCTAATTTTTTTTTGCCTTTTAAAACAGCTTGATATTTCATTAACACAATATTTGTAATATTAAAGCACATCATGCACTTGTATAAGTCTTGTTAGAAGGGTAACAAATCACTAAAGAACTCAAAGCTAATGGCATGATGACATCAATAAATGTTTTTTCTATTAACACTTTCACACCATTAGATAAATCCAAGTACAGGGAATACCAGTCACAGCAAGGCTAGTAGTGAGATAGATTAATAAATTGTTGATCCTTACCCAGTGGAATCTCAGTTACTAGTACTACCAAAACAACTGCTAAAAAAGACAGTCATTCAAGAGATATTTGCGCCAATAAATTAATTTGTTTTCATTGACCATAAGTTATGTAAATAATTTAATTTATTCATTGGACTTTGTATTGTTTTCTTAGATTTTTCATTATGCATTCCTTTGAATCATTTGCTAGTCTTGACAGTTTCAAGGTTTATTGGTCATCGTTACTGCCCAAATTATCAAAGCCAGTACTCTAAAAGCCTCTATTTTGTGCTGGGAAACTTTTATTAAAAAAGTCATATAAAGTAATTTCTAAATGATCATTTGCTGTTGTGGATGCAGTCACATCAATTTGTAATGCCCTTTTGATCATTGATAATATTTGTATAATAATAATGTTGCTGTCAATCACAAACAAAAAATAATGGCATGTACTGGGATTTCACTGGGACTATATTTGTTTTCACTCTCAGCTTAGGCTTCTGCTTGTAGGCATGGTGTTTAATTTAACTAACCTGTTTTAGTATTCTCCACATAAAGCTACATGTAAACTGTTAGGTATATCCCATGTCTTGTGTAGATCTTGTTTGTACATCTGGGTGATTCACTTAACATGTGACTGACCACCACTTACCTCAAGTCACTTGTGTGACAGTAGCCTGCTCAGGTTTATGTACAATTCAATGAATCTGAAAAAAGATAAATATGGCTCATGAGATATCACTTTCTTTTCTTCCATCTCTGACATTTTTGTTGAAAATCAATATCATCAAATGATTGTTTGTTTATGATGCCTATAATTATAATTGCCAGTTGGTCTTCACAAATAAATGCAATTCTTCCTAGGAAAATAGCATATTGATAATTTTAAAACAATGCAGTACATTATTAGTCCCTGTTCGAATGCAGTCTGAAAACGGGGACTTATGTTTTGATCGTTGTGCGTTTGTGTGTGCGTGCGTGCATCTGGACCTGCATCTTAGAAATGCCTGGACCAATCACAATCAAACTTCACACATACATCATACAAGATTCTATTAGTTCATGCTAAGAGTCAAATCCGCTAAAATTGCATGCAGCTATTTCAACGTGTTCTACATTATTCAAAATGGCCGACTGGTGGCCATTTTTCTCAATATGGACAAGTACTCATTTGACAATCAGATACAAGATGTCAATAGTTTTAATGTTAAAAAATCATCATAATCAAGCATCATCTTCTGGATCCATACTTCTGACATGTTTATGTTCCAAATTTGATAACTAACAGGGACTGTGCCATGCATGGCTTGTTCACTTCTATTATATTCCTTGTTATGGTATTAAGCTCTATTGTTCATCCAAAAGTAAATGATGTGTAACATTCTATAATAGGGAGTTGACACTAACACTTCCATTCTGTCCATTCCATTCCACATTGTAAGTACATGACTGCCCTATCTACAGTGTAAG